GGGCAGCGGCGGTGGATGGGGAAGCTTCAGGGAGGGGTCAGCAGGTGCGAAGGTCTGGAAGCGAGGGGGTAGTTGTGAGCTGAAGGGAGCGTGCAGCAGGCCCTCCTCCATCCTCAGCCGAAGCCTTGTGAGCTTTATGGGTTTTGGCCGTATTGCGGACCACACGATGGGGAGGGTTGGACCTTCCCAAGGGCGCACGTCCAGGTAGGCCGCCTGCGGGCTTTGAGAGCGGGGCAGGGGTTAGCTCAGGCTGACGGTGTGCGGGCCTGCCCACCAGTCTCCCCGAAGGGAGTTACTCTGTGTGTGTGGGGCGGTGGGGGGTGGGGGCCTGTGTGTTCTCGGCAGAGAAGCAGCCAGAGCTGCTGGCAGGAAATAGCGGGCCCGTGGGCAGGGGCCAGCTGGTGACTGTCCCCCCAAGGCCATCAGCCAGCAGCTCGTGGGGGTGCGGCAGCAGGGAGGCCCCGGAGAGATGACCTTCGAGAGGTTGGGAGAGAACATAACGTCACCTCAGTGTTCCCTGTGCTCACCCCCGGACGCTGGGGTCTGCTGAGTCCTGGGCACGCCAGGGCCTCCGTCCAGGAGCAGGTGCTGAGGCCCGAGGGGAGGCACGACTTGCCCACGGCCACACGGGTCCTTCCGCTCCGCCCTGCGCTGGGCAGCCCTCACCAGGACAGGCCAGTGGGTACCTGGCCGGTCCCTATACCTGCCCGGTCTGTGGTTTGGAGCCAGCACCTCCTTCCTTTCCCAGCGTCCCCTCTGCCCAGCGCGCTCGGGTCTGCTGCTCCGAGAATCTTATCTTTAGTCCCGGGGCCCACACCCTCCTTCGAGGGCCAGCCTCTGCCTGGCCGTGTGACCGGGCCTGGGCACGCCCCTCCGAGCTCTCTGCTCGCCTGTCCAAAGGCCAGCGTGGCCCAGTCAGGCCGGGGCCCGCTCCGCCAGACCTCTCACCGGATAACTCCCTGCACCTCGGGCTGTCCCACCCGAGGGGCTCCGCAGTGCCGGGCCCGCCTCCCGGCTCCCCCCCACGCCTCCTCCCGGACGGACGCAGCGGAGAGAGGTGGCTCTGGCATCACTGGGATCTGGGTTGGCATTCGTCTCTCCACTTCCTGGCTGGGGCAGCTTCCTGGGTCCTCCATGTCCTCAGGACTGAAACGAGCCTGGACACAGCTTGTTCCCGGGCTGCTGGGAGAATTGAAGGGATGGCACGAACCCCAGGTGGGAAGATGTGGGGGGGGAGAGAGCGTGGGTCTCAACACCCTCATCAGCAGGCCCCGTCCCACCTCCCCGGCCCGCACTGGAATGGGGGCTGGGCCGGGGCTGAGAGGGCCCTGGAGCTGACCAGGCAGAGCCCAGCTGCAGGCTGCTTTCCTGGGCCCTTCCCAGGGGTTCTGGGCAGCACCCCTCCTCAGGGAGAAGCTCAGAGTGGGAGGGGCTTGTAACCCAGCTGCTAGAAGGTGGAGTTTCAATCACATCATTAACCTGTCGGTGCCTCGGTTTCCCCACCTGTGAAATGGGATAATAGGAATGGCACAGCATAGGTGCTAAATAAATATTAACCATCATTCATGCCCTTCTCCCCCCCCCCCCCCCCTCCCCGCTTGGAGGCAGGAGTCCTTTCTACAGTTAAAAAGCCATGTGTAGCTGGTTTGGCTCAGTGGGTAGAGCGTTGGCTTGCGGATTGAAAGGTCAGGGACATGTACCTTGGTTGTGGGCACATCCCCAGTAGGGGGTGTGCAAGAGGCAGCTGATCGGTGTTTCTAACTCTCTCTCTCTTCCTCTCTGTTAAAAAAAAAACAAAAAACCTACGAGTAGAAAAAGTACCCAGTTGAGTAGGTGAGTTTTTGAGTCTGAAGGGAAACAGTGGAATCAGGCGAAGATGGCTGCCCGCGGGAGCTTCTCTTCCAGTGTGGGAGGGAACGGGGAGGCAGGAGAGGGGTGCAGCCCCCTCTGTGAACTGGGCATGTTGGGGTGCCCTCCCCCATGCTGCTCCAGCCCCGCTTCGTCCTCTGGGCAGGCCGTGCTGGGTCCCTGCCCACGGGGCTGTGGTGAGGAGGGTGGGGGTCCGTGGGGGACCCGGCCTTGGGCGTCCAGGGGGCTCGCATATTCTCTCCATACATGGTCGTCTTGGGCGTTGTGGCCTGGGCCAGCCACTCCCCCTGCTCCAGCCTCCATTTCCCCGAAGGGAAAATGGACTGTCCCTGCCTTAGGATACCAGCGAGCGCCAGTGGGAGCAGTGCCATTGGTAAGAGGCTGATAGTGGTCTGGGGCCGGGAGGGCCGGGAGGGCCAGGGCTCCCAGCTGGCCCTCTGCTGTCTTGGATGGTGGCCAGGGCACCTGAGCCGCCTTCTGCCCCCTCCTCTGAAAGGCCCGTGTGGCCGGGTCCTGGTGAGAACTGGAGAGCAGAACAGTGACAATGGAAATAATAATGTTAGTGGCAACAGTCACAGCACGGCCTGTGTGCCCAGGGCTTGGCATGGGTAAGCGCACTGGCCTTTGCTACTGCCTGGGAATGACTAGGGGCATCTTTATGGTACTGAAGAAGGTTTTTGTTTTTTAAATATATTTTATTGATTTTTCAGAGAGGGAGGGAGAGGGATAGAGAGCTAGAAACATCGATGAGAGAGATATATCGACCAGCTGCCTCCTGCCCCCTCCACCCCCCCCCCAAATGGGGATATGCCCGCAACCAATGTACATGCCCCTGACCGGAATCGAACCTGGGGCCCTTCAGTCTGCAGACCGACGCTCTATCCACTGAGCCAAACAGGTTTCGGCAAGGTTTTTGTTTGAGAGGAAAGGAGGGAGAGGGAGAGGGGGAGGGGGAGGGGGAGGGGGAGGGGGAGGGGGGGAGAGGGAGAGGGAGAAATATATTGGTGTGAAAGAGAAATGTTGGTTGGCCACCTCCCATAAGTGCCCAACCAGAGTTCGAACCCACAACCTGGATATGTGCCCTGACCAGGAACTGAACCTGCCACCCCTCGGCATACTGGATGACGCTTCAACCACTGAGCTACACTGGCCAGGGCTGAAGGAGGTTTGGGTTGATTTCCCGGAGTCCTCCCTGTGTCACAGCAGGGCCCATGGTGCTGTACCCACCTGGTTCAGGCAGGTGCTCGATGGGGCCTTGGTGCTCCCCTCTCTCCGAGGCAGGACGATGGCTGCCAATGGGCCTCCTCCCTCCTCTGTCCCCACACATTCCTGCCACACCTCCACCACCCACTCCCCCCGAACCCCGCCTTGGGCCATTGTTATCAGGAGACATTCCTGGCTGCCTGAGAACAGCTTCCACCTGGGGCCCTGCTGAGAGGGGTGCGTTCACTGATACAGGCCCTGCCAGCGGCTCCCCTGGGGGATGGGCCCCGGGCAGGAGGCTGAGAAGCCCAAACAGCCTGAGCCTGCCTGCGGGTGCTGTCTCTCATGAACTGTGTGACCTTAGGCAAGCGGCTTGACCTCTCTGTGCTCGGTTTCCTCCTCTGCGGATGGGGCTGTGCACACGGGGTGCAGCGGGTCTCCCGGGCGCGTGTGCTCGGTTTCCTCCTCTGCGGAGTGGGGCTGTGAACACGGGGTGCAGCGGGTCTCCCGGGCGCATGTGCTCGGTTTTCTCCTTTGCGGATGGGGCTGTGCACACGGGGTGCAGCGGGTCTCCAGGTGCGTGTGCTCAGTTTCCTCCTCTGCAGATGGGGCTGTGCACACGGGGTGCAGCGGGTCTCTCGGCTCCTGTGCTCGGTTTCCTCCTCTGCGGATGGGGCTGTGAACACGGGGTGCAGCGGGTCTCCCGGGCGCATGTGCTCGGTTTTCTCCTCTGCGGAGTGGGGCTGTGCACACGGCTGCAGCGGGTCTCCCGGCGCGTGTGCTCGGTTTCCTCCTCTGCGGAGTGGGGCTGTGCACACGGCTGCAGCGGGTCTCCTGGGCGCGTGTGCTCGGTTTCCTCCTCTGCGGAGTGGGGCTGTGCACACGGCTGCAGCGGGTCTCCTGGGCGCGTGTGCTCGGTTTTCTCCTCTGCGGAGTGGGGCTGTGCACACGGGCTGCAGCGGGTCTCCTGGGCGCGTGTGCTCGGTTTCCTCCTCTGCGGAGTGGGGCTGTGCACACAGGGCTGCAGCGGGTCTCCCGGCGCGTGTGCTCGGTTTCCTCCTCTGCGGAGTGGGGCTGTGCACACGGCTGCAGCAGGTCTGCCGGGCGCGTGTGTGTTGTGCAGTTCTTGGCCTGGTGCCCGGCACACAGGAGTCTCTCTACCCGTGGAGTAGCTGTTGTGATCACCTGAGAAGCAATTGTCCCTCCTCCTGTGGGCCCCCAGGTTAGACTGCCTCCGTGTCCACCTCCTGCTGGGGGCACATTGAGGGGGTCCCTGTGGGCTTTCTCTCCTCCAGGCCTGGGGGCCCAGGAGAGGGCAGAGCTGAGAGCTATTTTCAGAAGCCGAGAGCCTGCTGTGTGACCTTAGGTTGCACCTCTTCCGCTCTGAGCCTCCTGTTTCTGGTCTGCTCTGTGAGCACTTGGACCTGGGTAAGGCCCTAGGCCCTCGTTGCCCCCTCACCGCACTGTCTGCAATGCCTTCCTTGGCTGGGCTTTTGCTTGTCTTTCCCTCTATAGTGCCTGGCCCATAGTAGGTGCTCAGCTAAGCTTTGCTGAAGGAGCCGATCGATGCACAGTGATGGGCTTCGCTGTTCCCCGGCTCTTTGCCAGGGGCATCAGCCCCCGTCCTCTCTGCTTGTGGAACTCCTGTCCTTGAAGCCCTTCTCAAATGCTGCCTCTGCTAGAAGCCTTTCCTGGTGCCTCCCGGTCGGAGGGGATTGCTGGTGCCCTAACACGTGGTCCGAGGATCTCTGGGGCCCCTGTTGCAGTCCTCCTCGGCACACGCAGTTCCATGTGAATAATCAACCGGACCCACGCACTTACACTTACGAGGAGCCGCCGTGGTGGGGAGCCCGGTGCCTGCGGGGTCTTATTTAATCCTCCACAACAGCCTCGCAAGGCAGCTGTTACAATTCCCCTTCCCTTCGCAGAATCCAGAGGCTCAGAGAAGGGACGGAATTGCCCAGCTATGAGAGAGCGAGCCAGGATTTGAAACCAGGTAAGCCTACATCTTTTTCTTAAAAGGGAAAGAAAAAGCATTGATACACACACGGTAAAAAAAAAAAATAATAATAATTCAAGCAGTACAAAAGAAACGGGAAAAAGAAGTCTCTGCACCCAGGTCTCTCTGCCAGAGCCGTCCGTGAGAGGTGTTTCTGGTGTGTCCTTCTAGGGAAATCCAGGCCTCGGTAAGCGTAAATGCCAGAAACGTTATTTAAAAAAAGCACACACACCCTGCTCTGTGCTGTGTTCTCTTAACAGGGTAACTTGGAGATAATGTTGTGCTGCTTCCTTCTTTTTTTAAAAAAAATTTAAATATTTATTGTCGAAAATTTTATGTATTGCTTCTTGCTTTTTCTTTAAAAATATATTTTATTGATTTTTTTACATAGAGGAAGGGAGAGGGATAGAGAGCTAGAAACATCGATGAGAGAGAAAAACATCAACCAGCTGCCTATTGCACTCCCTGCCCCCCCCCCTCCCCCGGGGATGTGCCTGCAACCAAGGTACATGCCCTTGACCAGAATCGAACCTGGGACCCTGCAGTCCACAGACCGACACTCTATCCACTGAGCCAAACCCGTTTCGGCAGTTCTTTCTTTTTCATGGTTGCATACAGCTCATTGTGTGGATGGAGACCATGCTTTATTTAATCAGCAGCGAATGCTTTGGTTGTTTCCAGACTTTGCTTGATTATAGACAATTCTGTGGTGAATATCCCCAGTCATAGGCTTAGCGCTCGTGTGTGAGAGTGCCTTTCGGATGAATCCCACGTTGCAAGGCCATAGGGCACATGTGTCAAACACAAGGCCCTCGGGCCAAATCCGTCCCGCCAGGCCTTGCAATGTGGCCCGCACCGCGCTGTCATCACTGCACTCCGCTGCGTTTCCATCACAATGACAGTTTATGACTGTTCGGTAAACCATTCGGCCCGCGATTTAGGCTGGATTTTAGATTTTGGCCCCTTCTCTGATTGAGTTCGACACCCCTACCATAGGGTGTGTGCGGTTGTAATTTGATGTATGTCACCAGGTACCCCCCAGGGAGGCTGTGCTGATGTACCCTCACCCCATACTGGCCGGTTCGCCTCTCTCTCACCAACACGGGTTGCTGTGGACTTTTGGGATCTTTGCCAACCGAACAGGTGATCAGTGGCCTCTGGTATAGTTTTCCCCCCACAAACATTAGTTTTTAATTTTTATTTACTTCGAAGAAGTTTTCATTGAATTTATTGGGATGACATTGGTTAATAAAACCATACAATTCTATAAGACATCATCTGCCTACTGCATCCGTTAGTCACCACCCAAGTTTTTTGTTTTTTTAATAGTACAGCTTTACTGAGAAATATTTTACATACCAACCAAATCACCCAATTAAAATGCATAACTTAATGTGTGTGTTTTTTTAGTATATTCAGAGTTTTGCAATCGTCACCACAGCCAATTTTAGAATATTACCCCCCAAAGATACTGGGTACCCATTAGTCACTCTCCACTTCCCCTCACACCGTCTTCCCCCTCCCAGGCAACGGCGAGTCTAGTTTCTGTTTCTGTACATCGGCCTATTGTGGACGCTTCAATGAAATCATACAAGATGGTGTCTTTTGTGTCTGGCTTCTCTCACTTAGTATAATGTTTTCAACATTAACTCATGCTGTTGCAGTACTTCATTCCTTCTTCTTGCCAAATAATATTCTGTTATATGGAAATGTCACATTTTATTTATTCGTTCATCCAGTGATGGACAAGTGGCTTGTTTCCACACTTCTTGGTTATTATGAGTAATGCTGCTAGGAACACTTGTGTACAAGTTTTTATGTAGATTTTTTCCCCCTTCTTGCAGAACTTCTGGCTCATATGCTAACTCGGTGTCTAACTTTTTGAGGAAATGCCAGACTGTTTTCCAAAATGGTTACACCATTTTACATTCCTACCGGCAATGTGCAAAGTTCCCAGTTTCTCCACATCCTTGCCAACCACTTGCTGTTATCTGTCTTAATTGCAGCCATCCTAGTGTGTGTGAAGCATTATCTCATTGTGGTTTAGATCGGCATTTCTCTAATGACGAATCATATGGAGCATCTTTTCATGCGATGATTGGCCCCTGGTATATCTTCCTCTGGAGAAATGTCTGGTCAGATCCTTTGCCCCCTTTTTAAATTGGGTCCTTTGTCTATTTGTTGTTGAGTTATGAGAGTTCTTTATATATTCTGGACACAAGTTCCTTATCAGACATGTGGTCTGCAAACATTTCCTCCATTCTTCGGATTCTTTTTACTTCACTAATGGCCTTCTTTGGCACATCAAAGTTTTTATTGTTGATGAAATCCAGTTTAACTTTTTTGTTTGTTTGTTTGTTTGTGTTCTAAGGGTTCAGTGTGATCAAAGGTTTGGTGCCTATATGTTGTTATAAGAATTCTAAAAGGTGTTCCCTGTACATGTAGCTTTGTGGTCCGTTTTGAGTTCATTTTTGTGTGGGGTTTGAGGAAGGAGTCCAGCCTCTTTGCTTTGCATGTGGGTATTCCCTTGTTTCTACACCATTTGTTGAAAAGACTGTTCTTTCTCCATTGAATAGTATAAGCACACGAGTCAAAAATCAACCGAGTGTCAATGTGCAGGTTTATTTCTGGACCCTTAAATTCTGTCCATTGATTTCTAAGTCTGTCCTCATACCAGTACCACAGTGTAGATTACTGGAGCTTTGCAGCAAGTTTTGAAATTGAGAAGTGTGAACCCTCAAACTTTGTTTTTCTTATTTAAGGTTGTTTTGGCTATTTCTGGTCCCTTGGCTTTCCATATAAAATTTAGGATCAGTTCTGGCTTCGGCAGCACATAAACTAAAATTAGAACGATAGAAGATTAGCATGGTCCCTGTGCAAGGATGACATGCAAATTCGCGAAGAGTTCCATATTAAAAAAAAAATTAGGATCAGTTTTTTAATTTTTGCAAAGTACCTAGTTGGAATATTGATAGGGGTTCTGTTGAATCTGTGGGTCAGTTCGGGGACTTTTGCCACCTTAGCAATGTTTAGCTTTCCAATCCATGAATATGGGATGTCTTTTTATTTATTTAGATCTTTAATTTCTTTAAATAATTTTTGTAGTTTTCAGAGTTTAAGTTTTGCACCTTTTTTGTTAAAAAAGTATTCTTCTGATATTGTACATTGTTTCCTTAATTTTATTTTTGGATTATTCATTGCTAGTATATATAAATACAATTTATTTTTATAGTGTGATCTGATAACTTACAATGTTGTTAAACTTGTTTACTAGTTCTAATAATTTTTTTAGTGGGATTTTTAAGATTTTCTATATATTATATAAGACCATTTCATCTGCAAATAGAGATAGTTTTATTTCTTTCTTTACAATTAGGATGCCTTTTATGTCCTCTTTTTTCCTGGCTAGAACTCCAGGACAGTGTTGAATGGAAGTGGTGAGAGTGGACATTCTTGTCTTAGGGGAATGCATTCACTCTTTCACCATTAAATATGATGTAAGATGTGGGTTTTTCATAGATGCCCATCATCAGGTTGAGGAAATTCCCTTCTATTTCTAGTTTGTTGAGTGTTTTTGTTATAAAAGGGTGTTGGATTTGTTAAATACTTTTCTGAATATATATTGAGATTATTATGTGGTTTTTGTCCTTGATTCTATTGGTTGGTGTATTACATGAATTGATTTTCAGAAGTTAAACCAACCTTGTATTCTTGGGGTTAGTTTCATTTGGTCATGATGATAATTCTCTTTATATATTGCTGGATCCAGTGTGCTAGTATTTTATTGAAGAATTTTACATCTTATGTCCTAGGGAATAGCAGCCTGTAGTTTTCTTTTCTTATGGTGTTTTTGTCCACTTTGGGTATTAGGGTTAGTTCTGGCTTCATAGAACCAATTGGGAAGTGTTCCTTAGTGAAAAATTCGTATTCTTTCTTTTTCTTTAGTGTATGTGTGTGTGTGTGTGTGTGTGTGTGTGTGTGTGCGCGCGCGCGTGCGCGCGCTAATCTTCACCTGTGAATATTTTTTTACCATTGATTTAAAAAATATATAATTTTATTGATTTCAGACAGGAAGGGAGTCGGAGAGAGAGAGAGAATCGTCAGTTATGTAAGAAATGATTGATCAGCTGCCTCCTGCATGCCTCCCACTGAGGATTGAGCCCACAACCTAAGCATGTGCCCTGACCAGGAATTGAACTGTGACCTCCTGGTTCATATGTTGGTGCTCAACCACCAAGCCACACTGACCAGTCTCCCACTGATTTTTAGATAAAATGGAAGGGAGGGATGGGGGTGGAGAAAGAGAGAGACAGAGGAAGAGAGAAACATTGATGTGAGAGAGACACATCAATTGGTTACCTCCTGCTAGTGCTCCAACCAGGGCTGGGGAAATGGATCTGCAACTGAGGTATGTGCCCTTGACCAGGAATCGAACTCGTGACCCTTTGGTGCTCAGGCCGATGCTATACCACTGAGCCACACCGGCCAGGGCTGTTTCTTTAAATGCTCAATAGAATTCATCAGTGAAGCCATCTGGGCCTGGTTTTTCCTTGTGAGAAGTTTTAAAATTACTAATTCAATCTCTTATTTTAATTTTACTCAGATTTTCTATTTTGTCTTAGTTTCGGTGGTTTGTGTTTTTCTAAGAATTTGTGCATTTCATTCAGTAGTAGGTTATTCAGTTTGTTGGCATAGCATTCTCTCCTAATCTTTATTTCTATAAGGTTGGTAGTATTATCCTCTCTTTCATTCCTGATTTTAGTAATTTGAGTCTTCTCTCTTTTTCTCTTGGTCAGTCTAGATAAAGGTTTGCCAATTTTGTTGATCTTCTCAAAGAACCAACATTTGGTTTTGTTGATATTCTCTATTTTTTTTTCCCGACTTCATTAATTTTTCTGCTCTAATCTTTATTTCCTTTCTTTTACTTGCTCTAGGGTTCATTTGATCTTCATTTGCCAGTGTCTTAAGGTGGAAGGTTAGGTTTTCCTTTTTTTTTTTTTTTTTATAATATATTTTATTGATTTTGTACAGAGAGGAAAGGTGAGAGATAGAGAGCTAGAAACATCAATGCAAGAAAGTCATCCATCAGCTGCCTCTTGCACACCCTCTACTGGGGATGTGCCTGCAACCAAGGTACATGCTCTTGATGGGAATCGAACCTGGGTCCCTTCAGTCCCCAAGCCCAGGCTCTCTCCATTGAGCCAAACCGGTTTCGGCAGGTTTTCTTTTTTTAATACAAGCTTTTACAGCTCTAAATTTCCCTTTAACTTCTCCTTTACTTCGTCCTATACATTTTGGTAAGTTGTTTCTTCATTTTCACTCATCTCAAAGTATTTTCTACTTTTTTTGTGTGACCTCTCCTTTGATTTGTTGGTTATTGAGGAATTATTAATATTCACATATTTGTAATTTCCCAATTTTCTCTCTATTAATGATTTCATATCCTTTCATTGTAGTCAGAAACATACTTTGTATTATTTCACTCCTGAATTTATTCAGGCTTCTTTTGTGGTTTAATATACAGCCTACGCTGGGGAATGTTCTGTGTGCATTGAGAAGGATGTATAGTCTGCTGTGGTTGGGTAGCCTGTGTAGTTTTAATTTGCATTATTCTTATAAGTGTAGTTGAGCACCTTGTCGTATGTTTAAGAGCCATTTGCTATACTATTCGTGGTTACTTTTCTTATTTTGTGAGAGCTCATCATGAGTTACTAATATTTTTCCTAGTTTGTGTCCTTTTGAATTTGTTGATGATGTTTATTGAGTTATGCAGACATTTTATTTTATTAAACAAAGACATTTCACAAAGTCTCATTTTGGAAAAAGATTTTGTATACACATACACACACACACACACACACACACACACACACACACATTTTTTAGAGAGAGAGAGGAAAGGAGAGAGAGAAAAACATTGATGAGCATCAATCGCTGCCTCCTGCAGCCCCCCTACCGGGGACCGAGCCCACACCCCAGGCATGTGACCTGACCCAAAATGAACTGCAGCCTTTTGGTACCAGGATGCTGCCCAAGCAACTGAGCCACACCAGTCAGGGCTACACAGACATTTTAGATTTTTATGTGGATTGATTTGTCACTTTAAGAATGATGCTTAGGCCCTAACTGGTTTGGCTCAGTGGATAGAGCGTCAGCCTGTGGACTCAAGGGTGTCCCAGGTTTGATTCCGGTCAAGAGCATGTACCTTGGTTGCGGGCACATTCCCAGTAGGGGGTGTGCAGGAGGCAGCTGATTGATATTTCTCTCTCATTGATGTTTACAACTCTTTCTCTCCCTTCCTCTCTGTAAAAAAATCAATAAAATATATATATATATTTTTAAAATGATGCTTAGGTTTTGTGCCATGTTTAGAAATGCTTTTTCCATTTGGATATAAGAAAATGTATTCTCCCCTCCCCTTTTTAGAACTTCATCGTTTTGGTTTTGTGGGGTTCAGAGCCGATTGATGTGGAATTCAAAGGCATATGGAGTGAGATTGAGATCCAACTTTGTTTCCTGATGGCAATTCCTTAGTTTCAATTCTATCTTAAATATATCTTTTTCTCACTGGTGTGAAATGCCACTTTCATTATTTATTAAATTTCCGTATGTGTGGGGACAATTTCTGGAGATTATTTTGTTCCATTTATTTGTGTTTTTGTGCTGGTATCACACAGTGTTAAGTACTATGATTTTATAGTAATTTTTACTATCTGGGTGGGCTATTTCCCCTCTCATTAACCTTCTTTCTATGATTTTCCTTGCTACTCATACCCCTTTTAATTATAAATTTTAAAATGGATGTCTTCAGCTAGAAGAAAATCCTATTGGAGGTTTTATTGGTATCACATTCAATTTTTAGATTAATTTAGGAAGAATTGATATTTTTATAATGCTAGGCTTTTAAAAAATTAATTTTCTGCCCTAGTTTGTTTTGCTCAGTGGTTAGAGCATTGGTCCGCAGACTGAAGGGTTGTGGGTTTGATTCTTATCAAGGGCACATTCCTTAGTTGCAGGCTCAATCCCTGGTCCTGGTCAGTGTGTATGGGAGGCAAGCAATGGATGTGTCTATGTTGCATTGATGTTTCTCTCTCTGTGTCTCTCCCCCTCCCTTCCACTCTCTAAAAATCAGTGGAAAAAATATCCTCAGTTGAGTATTAAGCAAAAAAAAATTTTTTTTTTTAATTTTCTGATTGCTGTTGGTATATAGATACAGTGCTGATTAAAAAAATACATATATATATATATATATATAGATAGATAGATAGATAGATATAGATATAGATATAGATATAATTGATTTTTTACAGAGAGGAAGAGAGAGGGATAGAGAGTTAGAAACATCGATGAGAGAGAATCATCAACCAGCTGCCTCTTGCACACCCCCTACTGGGGATGTGCCTGAAACCAAAGTACATGCCCTTGACCGGAATCCAACCCGGGACCCTTCAGTCCGCAGGCCGATGCTCTATCCACTGAGCCAAACCGGTTTTGGCCAGTGTTGATTTTTTGATATTACCTTTTAATTTCCTACCAGTTAACTTAGTTCACTTTTTGCTTAATAGTTTTGCAGCAGATTCTTTTGTGTTTCCCGGATCTACATTGGTTAACATCTGAAAATGGTCATACTCATCTTCTCTTTTCTACTTCCATTTTATTCTTTCCATTTCTTTTTCTTAGCTCATTGCATTGGCAAGTATCTTAGAGGAAGTGGACATGCTTGTCTTTCTTGAACTCTTCCCCTGTGAAATAGTTTTTGTAGGCCTGGGCTCCTGCTCCACTCCACCAGGCAACCCTTCCAGGGCCAGGCACAAGGCTTGACTCAGATTAGGAATTTTGGAAGCCTTTGCTTAAAAAAAAGGTGATTAGAAAAGAGAGCAAGGGTCTGACCTGTAATGATCTTAACAGCTAATATTCACTGAGCACTTCTTAGGTACCAGGCACTTTAAAGTATTATCTCATGTTTTCCCCACAACAAGCCCTAGGAACAATTACCCCGATTCCCATTTTCGATAAGGGGTAAACTGAGGCCCCCTTGAGGCTGAATGGCTAGAAAGTGGCCATCTGGCATCGGAACCTGGTGTTCTGGGTCCAGGCTTGTATTTCTGACTCCTCCATGTTGCTTCCTCCTCCTGTAGGGTGCAGAGATCTGGATGGTGAGTCAGTGGTGGGGTGCCTGGGGCAGTGGGGTTGTCAGCACAGAGGCTGGGCCATCAGAGGTGCATTCTGATGACTCTCTCGAACCTCCAGCGTCCCAGCTCTGCTGCACTCACTGGTGTGGCTTTTGGCAAAGTTCTGGCCTTTCCCTCTGCAAAGTGGGTGCAGTCATAGGCTCTCCTTCATTGCGCTGTCAGGGTGATTGAGTATCAACTGCTTATGAGGATCTCAGCTCTGACTTAGGCCCGGCTACCTAACTCCTGCTTTCTTTGCATTGCTCCTCTTATTGCCTAAACTATCAGAACAACATTGTGTGCTGTTAACCAAACACTTATTTTGTGCCCTTCACATGGACTCTCTCACTTCATTCTCAGATGTTAGGTTTCTTATTATTCCCATCCTATCTAATAAAAGGGTAATATGCAAGTTGTCCCCTCCACCAGGAGTTCAACTGGAGTTGGACCAGGGGGCGGGGCTGACCAGCCAACTGCCTGGGGCCCCTCCCCCCAGCCAATCCCCCTATTGGCCCCCCTCCCTGATTGGGGGTGGGGCCAGCCAGTCAAACTCCAGCATCCCCTCCCCTCGGCCGGCCCTTCCCTATCAGCCCTGATCAGGGTGGGCGATCATATATATATATATATATGATCCCAAGTGACTGAATGACTGGTGGACAGGTCGCTAGGACATGCACTGACCAAAAGGGGGCAGATGCTCAATGCAGGAGCTGCCGCCTGGTGGTCAGTGCGCTCCCCCAGAAGGAGCACCACCAGATGGGTGTGCCAGATGCTGGGCTCATGGCTGGCGAGTGCAGCTGCGGTGGCACCAGCCTCTCCTGCCTCGGGCAGTGCTATGGAGCAGCAGTAGCTACAGGCACAGTGGGGCCAGGCTGAGTGGGAGCGGTGTGGGACCCAGCCTGGGCTTGGACTCCTCCCTGGCCGCCTGGCCTGCAGCTTCATGCGCTACTACACCCCTGAGGGATCCCGGATTGCACGAGGGTGCGGGCCAGGCTGAGGGACCCCACCAGTGCACGAATCCGTGCACTGGGCCTCTAGTTTTAAAGATAAGGAAACTGAGAGGCAAAGTAACTTGTCCAAGGAGATTTAGCTAGTAAGGCTAAATCTAAGGATTCAAACCCAGGTCTGACCGAGTCCTTATTCTCAACTCCTAAGCTCCTGGCCTCCCTCCCCGCTTAGGAGGCGGTGGAGATGGTATTCTTCCGAATCGGGAAGGAAGGAGTGGGTAGGTCATGACTGAGCACCCGTTTTTTTCTGGGCTCTTCTGAATGTTGTGAGCATTTGTGCACCTGAAGGGGCGGCACAGCCTATGCAAAAGCCGGGCGGTGAGAGCCAGCGTGCTCCCTCTGAGGGTCTGTGGGTGAGGGTGACAGCACCAACCCTGTGCGCGTGTCTGTGTGGCTTATAGCACTGCCTCGCCTGGGAGGAGGGTGCACGGAGGAGGTGAGGGCCTGGTCTGAGGGGTGGAGATAGGGTGGGAAGAGGATGCCTGTGAGGAAGATGGGAGGGAGGATGGGACACCAGCCCTGACGGGGTCATGGGGCGGGGCCGCCTTAGGGAGAGATGCAGGGTCAGGTTGGCACCCGCTGAGCATGAAGTGTTGGGGGCGCTGAGCCGGGCCTCTCTCATGGGGAGCGATAGCTCATGTCTCTGTGGTCAGGAGCTGCTCCCCATAGGAAAGGGGCCTCCTTCCTCTGGGAACCTCAGGCGCCCAGCACAGCCCTCACCACTTCCCCTTACTATTTCTGCCTTGGCGTGTGCACGTGGTGGGAGAGATGTGTGTGTGGGGGGGGGGGGGGGGCGGCGGAGAGGGGGTTGGCCATTCTCAAATGGACAAGTCATGGTGACTTGGTGTTTGGGCCCCGAAACGGGGTCCTGCCTGGAGAAAGGAGACGGAGGCCAAGAGGGCTGCCCCTCCGAGGTCACAGCGAGGTCACAGCATGGCGGCAGCCCTGCAGGGACCAGACCCCGCCCTAAACGTGCCTGTCCTTCCTCAAGCACACTCTCTTTGTGAGGAGCCCGACACTTCCAGCTTTCTCTCGGAGCGGGGCTGGGCTGCCTCACCCGTTCCTGGCCCGTCTGCCCAGGTGCCTGGCTGTTTGGGGAGAGAGGTCCCTAGGTGAGAGGTGGGCCCCAGGAGCTCCTCCGCGCTGAGCAGCCCCGGATGCCGCCTGCCTGCTGTGTTTTCCTACCCCCACTTCTGTTTTTTCTTTTTTTTTCCCCAAAATATTTTATTGATTTTTTTTCACAGAGAGGAAGGGAGAGGGATAGAGAGCTAGAAACATCGATGAGAGAGAAACATCGACCAGCTGCCTCCTGCACAGCCCCTACTGGGGATGTGCCCGCAACCAATGTACATGCCCTTGACCGGAATCGAACCTGGGACCTTTCAGTCCGCAGACCGACGCTCTATCCCCTGAGCTAAACCGATTTCAGCCCTACCCCCACTTCTTTCCGTCCTCACCCTCATGGTGTGACCTCAGGCAAGTCCCTCAATCTTTCCGTGCCTCAGTTTCCTCACCAGTAAGACAGGGGCACTGTTAGCGTCTACTTCCTGGATTATCACGGGGATTCGATGAGTCAGTGGTTGCCAGGTGCTTAGTTCAGGGTCCCGTAGAAGGACCAGGCTCTGGGAGGGCTTGAATATCGCAGAATGATACTTGGTCTCCACACGAAATTGCAGGAACAAAGCAGGATGCAAACCACATGTCTGTGTTCTTTAGTCTTTTGTCTATTCTGCAGATATTTCCAGAGCACCGGGTAGGAGCCAGGCCTCCTGGTCCCCGGGGATACGGAGATGGATCCGCCCTGGTCCTGCCTGCAGGGAGATAGGGTCCAGGGCACCACGTGGGTCCCAGTTTACAGCCCTACGGTCACGTGATGCCAGGAGGAAACGTGTGCTCCCTGCACTCCCCTCACGGGTTCTCCCAGCAGCCCTATGATGTGGTACCTTTATTACACCCAGGTGACAGAGGAGGAAACTGAGGCACAGGGTCCATGCCAGGGTGGTAGGGCTTGGGTTCAAACACAAGTACTCCAATCCAGGACTCTGGCTCTTAACCTCCACCTGCCTCCTGCCCACAAATATATATATTTACTTGTATAATTAGAATCAACCACAAGGACCCAAAAAACCCCCAGAAACCAGGAAACACTGCAGTCTATTCTTGAAGGCTGTCTTATGCTTTGTGGAGTGCCCCAGAGGGGAGTGTAAGACTTAGGGCCACGAGCTGTCTCTTCCTTCACCCCTCACCAGGGGGCACATGCATCCTCTTGGTGCTGGGAAGAGGCCCCAGGGTCCCGTACTGGCTCTCCCTCTCCCTCCACAGCACCTTAGCCAAGTACCCTCTCTCCTGTTCTTGGTTACCTCCCGTGACTGGAGGCTCACTTTCCATCATTCAGTTCCTTGTAAAGAATGTTTGGGACCTTAGAAAGTTCTTCTCTTAAAAACTTTTAAAACATATATTTTTACAATTTTTATTTCCTCTCAAAGAGCCACAAACAAGTGCTCTGTTAGGGCATGCCGTCTCGGAGGCAGGGCCTGGCCGGCGCACCTCCGTCCTGCCGCAGGGACCCACAGAGAGCCTCCTGCACAGTTGGCGCTGTGAAAGCTGGACCAGGGTAGTGGGCTGGAGGTATGGTGGTTGGGGCTCAGCCTCCATCGAGCCTGGGAACGTGGGTGATCGGGTCAGGCGGTCCCACGGGAGACGGACTATATGAGTGCTGATGGGCACCATGACCTCAGTGGGTTGGGTTGCCGTAGAAATTGGCCATTTCTGTCCCCAGGCCCGTCGGTCCCTCAGGAGGCCCTGGTGATCCTTTGGGCTGTTCAGCAGGTCTCCCTAGGGCCTCCCCAGCCCCACATTCTCTGAGCTGGAGGGACCCCAGGGAGCATGCAGGCCACACCTCCATTGTGCGGCAGAGCCGGCTGCGGCCCAGAGGGCGGAGGGGCCGGCTGAGGCTCACGTAGGGGCTGGGGTCACAGAGCTGGGCTCAGCTCTCAGGGCTCGCAGGCTTGCCTGAGACCCCAAACAGTCAAAGGGGCTTCTCTCCATCCGTAGATTCTCAGAGGGAACTCTGGACTAATTCCAGGGCCTGCAGCCTGCCCTGGAGAACCGTCGGAACCACCCGGCGGGTGTGTCCAGCGTCACACAGACCAGCGAGAGCCGATGTCAGGGTGGCCTGCTGTGTTGCCAGCACTCTGGCTGGCCTCGCTCACTGATGCCCACGACCCAACCATTTCCAGATGGAGAAACGGGGCACAGAGAGGAGTTAGGTCGCTTACCTGAGGTCATGCGACTGCTCAGGGGCAGAGCAGGGCCTGAGCTGCGGGGTCTGGCTCTAGAGCCCACTCCTTACCACCGTGCCCGGCCCAGCATCGTTCTCGCTCAGAAAAGGCTTTGGGCGGCGAGAAGGAAACGCCAGGTTTGGGAAGCTCGTGGCTTTGTCTCCCAGAGGCAGAGCCGAAGATCAGGACCCACCGGCACAGCCGTGGTGACTTCTCTTCTGCGCGTACCCTCACCGCAGCCCTGAGAGTTTGCTTTGTCCCTGCTTTGCAGGTGAGGATGCGGAGGCCCGGAGAGGGGAAGTGACTCCCTGAGGTCACAGAGTGGGAAGAGGCACAGCGGGGCCTTTAGTCTGCGACCTCTGACTCCACGCCTGGTGTTTGCCGAGACCCCAGGCTGCTTCCCAGGTCCTGGGACAGCCCCCTCCTTCCTCCAGGTGAGGTGATGGCCCGTCAGGACTGCCGAGAAGAGGGAGCAGGGAGGTGGCCGTCATGGTAGGGAGTCCCTGGCAAGTCCGGTCGGTGGGAGTGGGGGCCAGCCAGGACCTGACAATGGGAAATGGGAGGCAAAAGGGCGTGGCAGGGCAACGGGCATCACTGGAAAGCTTTGACCGGCCAGGTTTCTGGCTCAGAAATCTCTTTCATTCTGCTGTTTATTGAGCAGCTGCTGTGTGCCACACTGTGCTTGGTACAGGGAGCAGAGCAGTGAACTAGACTAAAGTCCATGACAATAATAACAATAATATAACCACACAAACACAAACTAAGTGGTCACGGGGCCACAGGTGACCGAGGAGAGGCACAGAAGTCACATGAACTTAGACCGGTGAAAGGGTCCGAGGAGCGTTTCCTAGGGCAGTGGCTTATGCACTGAGAACTGAGGGAGGCCCGCGTTTCCCTGGGGAAGTGGTCAGAGGGGAGCGTTTAGGCAGAGGGAACGGCATGTGCAAAGGCCCTGTGGCTGGGGTGAGCTCCCAGCCATCTCTCCTCCTTTCAGCTGCCTGAGTTGATGGCCACGTTTAGCACCTTTCCCCCTGGATCAGACAGTTGCAGTCGGTCATGCATTCACTCGGCAAACCCTCCCCGAGCCCCCTCCTATGTGCTGAGTGCCTGGGGCGCAGACATGACTCGGGTACTGTCCCCGCCCATGAGGGACAGAAGCAGTGACCCAGGAGAATGTGGAAGAGGTTAGGGCTTCCGGTTATGAGGTCTCGTTCTGTGCTCGATCCTTTCTGGGTGACGCCATCGTTCCCATGCCACAGATGAAGATGTGGAGGCTGTGAAAGGCTGACCTCCCCAAAGAGGCTAGTGCCCCTCGTGGGCCTCGGAGTCCCCGTCTGTGGAATGGGCTAGGGCGGAGGCTGTCTCAGGGGCCCAGGCAGCCCTGCCCGTTCCCACGGTCCCTGCTTCACGCCAGGCTCCTCTCTCTTCCCCACCCAGGACCATGGGCAGCAACAAGAGCAAGCCCAAGGACGCCAGCCAGCGGCGCCGCAGCCTGGAGCCTGCAGAGAGCGCCCACGGCGGCGGCAGCGGTGGGGGTGCCTTCCCCGCCTCGCAGACCCCCAGCAAGCCGGCCTCCGCCGACGGCCACCGCGGCCCCAACTCCGCCTTCTCCCCGGCCGCCAACGAGCCCAAGCTGTTTGGAGGCTTCAACTCCTCGGACACGGTCACCTCCCCGCAGAGGGCGGGGTCGCTGGCTGGTCAGTGGGCCCGGGGGCGTGTGTTCCGGCTGCCCTGCCGGAGGGCCGTGTGTCCTGGGGCAGCGACGCCCCCTCTCTGGGCCGCGGCTCCTTTTGCTCACTGAAGGGAAAGTGGCTGTGGGTTAGCCGGCCTGGGGACTCCTGGGAGTTTCCTGGAGGCTGTGGGCGTGAAGTGCGGTGCACAGTCCGTCCGATGCAGAGTGTAAAGGGGTCTACAGATAGAGGACTGCAGGGGGACACGAAGGCCCAGAGGGTCAGGGAGCCGCTCTGGGCAGCATGGAGACCACGTCTGGGGCTTTGCTCTTCGCTCTGGTCAGCCCATTGACGGGTCGGGATAGGTGGCTAGTGTGTGGTCAAGGGGCCTGGCGGGTTGGGAGGAAAAATCAAAGCTCCTCTTTTGAGGCCTCTGGTGCTGAGATGCGCCCCTCCGCCCTCTGCTGGCACGTTGGGGTATAACAGCCAAGACAGGGATGCTCGAGACAGATGTGGTCCTAGGAGACCACATGACACTCTCAAGCACTTGTACTCTCACCCAGCACACTCCCACGGAGCCATACACACATCGTTACACAACGAGTCAGCACCTGGTGCAGAGAAACCATTAAAAGACATGTGCATGTGCTACGCTGGAGACGCCATCATAGACACACACACCTCACACATAGAGCACACGTGGATGTGCCCTCCCTAGGCACAGACACCCTCACAATGCAGTGTCCACAAATACACGCACCCATACAACTAACCTCCTGCTCCCAGATGAAGACACGCATGTGTAGTCAAAGCCCTTCCAAGCCACACACGGGACACAGACACAGACTTAAGAAACAGATTTACAGATGCCCACAGGCTCACAGAGGCACGAGTGTACACATGCAGAGAGATCACAAAAGTACACAGAGACACATGGACACGCTTGGACTCCTCAGGCACAGACACACGTCCAAGTGAGACCAACAGACCCGCATGCACACCCGTTCATTTATTCATTTGTGGCACCTCTCCTGTGTGCTCGGATTCTTCTGGCCTGGGGACCCCGCAGTGTGTAATGCAGACATGATCCCCGCAGGGGAGGGAAACAAGGCGAGAGAGATGTGCGCACTGTGCGGTGTGCTAGAAGGTGGTCTCGGGTGAGAAGGACCGAAGGGCAGGGAGGGCCTTTTGGAGGATGGGGGGATAGAGGTTGTGATTAAAACGGGGGACAGAGAGAGAGGGCCTCTTTGAGGGGACAGTTACCTGCCACAAGCTCCCCACCGACACAGAGAAGAGCCAGGAGAGAGACATGGAGCCACCTCCGCTGGGGCAGTGTCCTTCGTACACGGGTTCATTCATCCCACAGTTAGTGTTTCTTGAGCACCTACTGTGTGTCAGGCTCAGGAACAAAACGAAGGTGCCCGTTCGCAGGGGCTTCTGCTTCTGTGGAGAAGACAGACACCAAACAAATGCCAGCACCGCTCGGAGCTCCGTGGGACTCAGGCAGGAAGAGATGGGTGCCTACTGCCGCCCTCGCAGGGCTGCCTGGGCACACGGACACAGATCTGAATGTGACCGTGACCCTGGGCTGGGCTCTGATGGCACGTGGGAGACCAGCCTCCACGCCCCCGGGGGACGGGCCCTGTTGTCCATGCCTCTCCCTGCCCGTGGCCGTGCTGACGCGCCTGACCCTCTCTGCAGGCGGGGTGACCACCTTTGTGGCCCTCTACGACTACGAGTCCCGGACGGAGACCGACCTATCCTTCAAGAAAGGGGAGCGGCTGCAGATTGTCAACAACACGTGAGTGCCTCCCCTCCCTGTCGCCCTTGGGCCTCCCGTCCCTTGGGCCCGGCGTTGGGCCAGAACCGCGTCTGGGCAGCATGTTGGGCAGCAGGCAGAGCTGAGCGCGAGGCTGTGGAGGCCCAGGAGACCGTCCTGGGGCCTGTGGGAGTGATAATGAGGCAAGTGGTGGTGGTTAGGCCTCCAGGAGGGCCCCTGGGACAGAGGTCTGGGCTCAGTAACTTGTCAATGGGCACAGTACCCCCGATCCCCAGATCCCAGACTCTGCCAGGGGGCATGTGGTCATGGCAGGACTGGGCCCAGGACTCAGGACTCAGGACTACACAAAGCAGGGCTGAACACTGGAGGCCATGCCCACCGAGGTGCCCCCATTAGTGATCTAGGGCTGCAGGGCCTGGGACACCGGATAAGTCAGCGTGTCCCGCTGTAAGGGGAGGAGCCCACCCTGGGAGGAGTGGGGCACCCATGTTGGGCGCATAGAGGGAGAAAGTCAGCACTGAGCATGTGGATGAGATGGTAGCATAGGCTGTGGAGGGCAGGACTCCCTGGTGGATGTCTGGTTTACCTCCGGGACTCCATCCTCGGGGTAGGCTATCCTAGAGCCAGGCTGGCTGTGGGGGCCCCAGCATGGGGTGAGGTCCTCCTCCTCCCGTCCCCTCCTAGAGTGCAGGGGGAGTGAGGTGCTACCGCGTCCTGGGGGTGCCGTGCAGCCTTAGGGCCTCAGGGCGGGCGGTGGAGGGCCTCAGGGCGGGCTTGGGACGGTTTGCTCATGCAGGAGGGCTTACACCTGCTGCATTGCTGCCCCTCCCCCTGCAGCCTGGGCCCTCCCCACCCCATCCCTGGCCCGCACTCGCTTCCCAGCCCTCTCTCAGCTTCTCCTCTCTCTGCTTCTCTCTCGCTGGCCCTTAGGAGGAAGGTGGATGTCAGGTGTGTACATACCTGGTGGGCGGGCCGGGTGGGGGTGCTTTGCTGGTGGGGGTGGGGCTGCTGTCTGCATGCGGCTGTGTCCCTCCTCCCTGCCTGTGGTCTCCGGCTCCCTTGGCTGCCCGCTTCCGGCTCCCCGGCCTTTGTCCTCACCCCCCCCCCCCCCCAGCCAGTTTGACCAGGTCCCAACCTCAACCTCAGGCTGAGAATGGGGAGAGCCCTCCCATCACCCCTGCCACTCTCCACCGCCCCTCCCCCCCGCCCACCCTCCTAACTCACCCAACCCTCATTCTGACCATCCGCCCACACTGAGTGCCAGCTGCAGGCATGGCTCAGCGCTGGGCCCATCGAGGCCTGGGGGGAGAAGGCCTTGCCCACGCCTTCCTGGAGCCAGAGGGTAGCCAGGGGCCGGCCCTAGGCCAGGCAGAGGGACAGGCAGAGGGTGGGTGGGTCAGCCCAGGCATTTGGGCTTCTGCTGTGTGTCCCCCTCTGTGGTGACCACAGGGCCCGGGAGGTTCAAGGTCTTTGGAGGGAAAAACAGGTGGAGGCGGTGGAAGGCGGTCCCTCACAGAGGGACAGCTGAGGGAGCCGTGGGAGGGCCAGAAGGTCCCAGAGGACAGGGTGGAGGTGGTCCCTGAGGTCCTCGAAGGCCTGGCTCAGGAGATTGGCCGTCTCCACCCTCCTCGAGTGTGCCTTGCTTGTCCGTGCCTCCCTGCCCTTGTGCATGCTGTTCCTTCTGCCTGAAATGCCCTGTGCCCCACCTCTGCCTGGCAAACTCTATTCATCCCTCAAGACCCAGCCGAAGACCGCCTTCTCTGAGAGGCGAGGGGGAAAAGAGGTGCGAGGGGCCGGGCCAGGCATTTTAAACCCACGCCCTCAAATGTGCTCGGCTGCAGTCCCGCCAGGGCTATGGTGATGGGGGGAGGGGATGTCTCCATTTTGCAAACGAGGAAACTGAGGCTCAGAGATGGGAAGGCCCTTGCCCAGAGTCACACAGCTACCAGACAGCAAAGCCAGGATGGGAGCTTGGGCCGCGGCTCTCTCCCTCCCTCAGGCTGCTCTCCCCGGGGGAGGGGCTTTCCCTACGTCCCACCCCCTCGTGGGTCCCGTTCCTAGTGTCACTCCAGTTCTCTCTTGGTTCCAGCTGTTTGTATCTGCCTCCCCCCAAAGGGCTCCCCACATTTCTGGGTCCTCCTATCACCTGTTGCTCAGCATGCCGGAGGGACCCCCCCTGGTGTAGGTGAGCCGGACGGACGGACAGCCACGGCACAGCTCCGTTCACTGTGCTCTGTGTGTGAGCCAGGTCCTGTGCGGAGCGCTTGGAGCTGCATTGTTCTGTTTATACATCACCACGCTCCTGGCGAGTGTGTGGAAACTTATTTGCTCCATTTTACAGATGAGGAAACTGAGGCCCAGAGAGGGGAAATTACTTGCTCAAGGTCACACAGCTAGCAGTGGCAGCACTGGGAGGGTAGGCGTGCCCCAGGGCCCTTGCTGGGGAGGAGCAGAGGAGCCGGGAGGAGGGAAAGGCGGTGCAGGGAGGGTGCAGGGTCAGAGGCTTTGAAGAACTGGGGGGCATCTCAACCAGCAGCAATGGGCCGGGCATGTCAGGCTGGGGTCGCAGCTTGAGCCAAGGTGTGCGGGAGGAGGGGCTCTGGAAGCGGGTTCTGCATCTCTCACCCGAGAGCAGCCCCGCCCCTGCTCTGTCCTCCTCTCTCCTTCCCTTTATCTCTCACCCGAGAGCAGCCCCCGCCCCTGCTCTGTCCTCCTCTCTCCTTCCCTTTATCTCTCACCCCGAGAGCAGGCCCCACCCCTGCTCTGTCCTCCTCTCTCCTTCCCTTTATCTCTCACCTGAGAGCAGGCCCCACCCCTGCTCTGTCCTCCTCTCTCCTTCCCTTTATCTCTCACCTGAGAGCAGGCCCCACCCCTGCTCTGTCCTCCTCTCTCCTTCCCTTTATCTCTCACCTGAGAGCAGGCCCCACCCCTGCTCTGTCCTCCTCTCTCCTTTATCTCTCACCCCGAGAGCAGCCCCCGCCCCTGCTCTGTCCACCTCTCTCCTTCCCTTTATCTCTCACCCCGAGAGCAGCCCCTGCCCCTGCTCTGTCCTCCTCTCTCCTTTATCTCTCACCCCGAGAGCAGCCCCCGCCCCTGCTCTGTCCACCTCTCTCCTTCCCTTTATCTCTCACCCCGAGAGCAGCCCCCGCCCCTGCTCTGTCCTCCTCTCTCCTTCCCTTTTCCCGCCTTCGCCCCTGCTCTGTCCTCCTCTCTCCTTCCCTTTTCCCGCCTTCGGCGTGGGCTGCAGGTGTTTGGCCGGCTCTGCGGCTGTCCGGGGGGCTGGCCGTGTTGGAGCCCCGTGCATGGGCGGTCCTCAGTGGCACTATGGAGGGTGGGGGTGAACCGAGCGTCCCTCCGCATGCACCGTGCTCAGCCGCCCCTTCTCCTGGGAAGTGTGGTGGTGGCGGATTCAGGGCTGGCATTAGAGAGGAAGGGCTTATCGGAAGGTGGGGTGTTCAGGTCGCATACCCCACCCAGGGAAAGTATTACGTAGGTCCTCCTCTTTCCCCCATAAACCTCTTCCAGCCGCTGCCGCCCTCCCCTGCACCCAGGCCCTCCCCACCCCATCGTCTGTGTCCACGGGGAAATTCTCTTCCTTCTTTCCCTTTTTCCTACCCACCGGATAAGGACTAGGCCCCAGGGAAGGTGCCAGATTTGGCGAATCTGCTCCGCCTGATAGGCTCATTCACTGCTGCTTCTGAGGCTGGGTGTGGGTGGCGTCCCTGCGGCACTGGGCTGGTCTGGGAAGCTGTGGGCATCTCCTGGGGGGGCAGCCTCAGGCCCCTGGCACACCTGTGGCAGGTTTGAGTCGCCCAGGCCAGTGGCTGCCACCCGGGGGTCTGTGGATCACTGCTGGCCTGTAAGGTCCGAAAGATTGGTGACCGCTGTCCCAGATTGTAGGCTTGATGGCTCCCTTTCACAGGTGGGTAAACTGAGGCTCGGGTGATACAGAATTAGCTTGCTGAAGTGGAAGCTGGCTGGATACCGATTGATTTACATACTTTTCAGCAAGGATGATTCTGCGGAGAAGGAAATAAGAAGTATTATTTATAGTATCTTTTGTATAGATGAGGAAACTAAGGCCCAGAGAGGGCAGGGTACTTGCCCAAGGTCACACAGCAAATCCTTATTGGAGGTGGACTGAGCTGCTTTGGCTTTAGTTTTAAAAACACATTTCTGAGAGTGGGGAGAGGGGTACCACTGAGATATAAATTTAATTTTTTTTTTTTAGCCAAATCAAGATATTCATAGTTCATGCACACTGAGGACCCCTCGGAGGGATGCAGGAGTATTATCCCCATTAACAGATGGGGAAACTGAGGCAGGGCCAAGATCACACAGCCTGTGGCTAACTCTGGTGCTCCAGCTCTCAGACGCCTCTCAAGCTGGGGCCAGGCTCAGGTCGGACCCTGGGTCCTTTAGCGAGATGGCAAACAGCCACCCTCCCTGCCCTTGGGAACTAAAACTCAGAAACGGGACTGGGAACCCAAACTCACATGTGGGCTGATGTCAGGGAGCAAGAGGCTCTGCTGGCCAAAGTCTGGATCGTGCCAGCGGAACTGTGCCCTCCTTGCTTCTGGGTCTCTCCTTGGCTGGCCTCTGGACACATGCTCCACCGACCTTCCCCTCTGAGGTGGAGGCTGCTCAGCTTTCAGACTCTGGTTTGCCAATCTGCCCCGTTTTGTAGCCTGTGACCAGCCCAGCCCCCTGCCCTCCAGTCCTGCGCCTCCTCTTTCATCTTCCCCTGGTTCCCCGAGGGCCTCTGGGCCCTGAGGGCCCGGGGAGACGGCAGGTGTCCGGAGGCCTGCTGGCTGCGGGCACCCGGGCCCTGGCCGCCCTCTTGCTCTGCCATTGACTTGCGATATCGCTTTGGGCACAGCACTGCCCCTCTCTGTGCCGTGCTTTCCCCATTGGTGAAATGCAGCTTTGGACTGGATGATCACAGTTGTGCCCTGAGACTTGAGTCCTTCTTTGTAGCTTTGGGCGAGTCTCAGCTCCTCTCTGTGCCTCAGGTTCTCCAACTCTGCAAAGGAAGTGCTGGCTGCTCCAGCCTGGGTGCTGCGTGTCCTGATGTGGGGGCTGAGGCCTGCCTTCCTCCCGCTCAGGGTGGCCTTGAGGGTCAAGTGGATCAGACAAGTGCAGACACCCCTGCTGGGTGCACAGCAGGGGGTGGATGGAGGCCCTGGCCATCCAGGGGCTTCTTTCCTTGAGGTGGGCCTTGTCCCCTCACTCTGGGGCCCTCCCTCCCCTGCAGAAACTCCCACATGAACTGTGTCCCTGCCTGAGTGCAGGTCAATGATGGCACAGCCAGGTCAGCCTGCACAGCCGTATCCTCTACCCCTCTGATCCAACGCCCCCTCCGGTGGCTCAGCCCCGGTCTGAGTGCTCACCTACCTTTTCCCAGGTCCTTGGAGGGCATCCCTAGCCCCGTGCTCTCCTGGCCTCAACTTCTCCATCTTCAAAATGGGCTGAAGAACGTGGGTCAGGGGAAGCTCAGAAAAACCAGGAGCCGGGGATTTGGGTTCAAGTCCAGACTGTGTGACTGTTGGCAAGGACCTTTCCCTCTCCGGGCCCTGGCGATGGGGAGGAGAGTCTGTCCCGATAGCCGTCTGTCTGTCTCCTCAGGGTCGTGGTGAGGCCCAGAGGCGTCCTTGGGTGGAGAAGCTCAGCAAGCCCCTGTAGGGAGGGCGCCTTCTTATCGGGCGGCTGGAGCCTGGGCCTGGCTGTGTGGCCTTGAGCAGAGAGAGGCCTTCGCTTCTCTGGCCTCAGTCTTCCCATCCACGCAGTGGGAATGGGAGGGAGCTGGGCCCTGTTTCCCAGGCAGCCCTTCCCATCACCGCCCCCCTCCCCACGGACGCCTCCCAGCCTCTCTGGTTGCTTTGGATGTGAGACCTCTGTGGCTGCCCCCTGGCTGCCCCTCCCCAGCACCGCCTGGCTGTCCTGCTCTTTCCCTCGCTCCTCCTGCCTCTCCCTCTCACCACCCCCATCTCTGCCTCTTCTTTCCCGTTGGGCTCTCGCTTTCTCCTCTCTCCTCTGTGTCTCTGGACCCCCGCTCCAGCCAGACCTGGTTCACATTCAGATGGCTGCAAAGGTACTTCGCCCCTCCCCCTTCCTCCCACCAGGCCCAGGGGGCCCCGCCCTGTGGGGAGCTTCTCCTGCCCCGGCCCATCTCCTCTTCCTGCTCGTGGGGCATTAGTACAGGAGTGTCCCGGGCATCGGGGCTCTGTAGCCCCCTCTGGCATGGCTCGCTGTGTGATTTTGGGCAAGTCCCAGCCCCCTCTGGCCTCAGTTTCCCCCCTAGACGGGCAGGCTGCGAGAGGAGGCGTGTGGTTTCCAGTCAGGGATCCCTTCGGTGTGACCTCTGATTTGTGACAAAGGCAGGCATCGCTCTAGGTTGCAGGGTTGGCACTTGGATTGTCACCAGTCCCCAGAAGGGCCACCCCCTGCCTTCACCCAGGTCTCACCAGCTCCCAGGACTGGGCTTCCCAGTCTCAGGGCGTGGGGAGAAGTTGAAGGTCTGATTGGACATCCATCTCCGACAGGAACTTGCTCTTGTAACTTGCTTGCTCCCCAAAGACAAGGGTTCCCCTTACCTCACTCCCAGGCAGCTCTTGGTGTCTTGAATAGCTGGTCTGTCTGTAGGGACGCGAGCGTCCTTCCCATTGACTCTGCCCTGCGCGCTCGGGCTCCAGGCTGACCGAGGCCAGTCCTGCCACAGTCCTGGACCACGCCGGTCGGAGTCAGCTCTGGCCGAGGCACGTGGGCCGGCGTGGCCGGCCGTTCCCCGTGCTCCCCCGGCCTCCGGGGCTCCCAGCACAGCACCCTGAACACTGCAGGCAGCGGGACCCACCGCTGACGCTCCCCTTCTCCTTTGTTCCCTCCCGCTCCCCCGCCCAGAGAGGGAGACTGGTGGCTGGCCCACTCGCTCAGCACGGGACAGACGGGCTACATCCCCAGCAACTACGTGGCGCCCTCCGACTCCATCCAGGCTGAGGAGTGAGTACGGGCCCTGGCCTCCGGCCTGCTCACGGGGGCTTCTCTCCCGGGCTGGGCTTGGAGGTCTGGCTGCCGAGGGCCCAGGCCAGAGGCCCCGTGGACGGGCGGAAGGAAGCCGGGATAGCCAGCCGGTATGACCCTCCTCCCTCCCGCCCCAGGTGGTACTTCGGCAAGATCACGAGACGGGAGTCAGAGCGGCTGCTGCTCAACGCAGAGAACCCGAGAGGGACCTTCCTCGTGCGGGAGAGCGAGACCACGAAAGGTAGGAGCCCGTGGGAGCCAGAACTTCTGGTGGGCTGTGTGAGCAGGGTGTTGCAGAGTGAACAGGAGTTCGGTGTGTGCCGTGAAGTGGCAAGAACCCTCAGGGTGGAGGAAATGACAAGACCAAAGGCAGAGAGGTACACCTGAGGACACGGCGTTGTCTTGGGGGCCAGCGGGGCAGTAAGAGAGGGCACGTGGCCTCCCCGGCCTCCGTTTGCTGCGATGAGGAGCGGATACAGGTTGTCAGGAGGGCTGGGGGTTCACACAGCTGGGGGGTCTCCCATTGTGGGTGTTGCTACAAGGGGTCCCTCTTCTTCCCCTTCTTCCGGGGCCTCTGGGGCTGGACTGGGTCCTGGGACCTGGCTTTACCTTTCCCCCACCGGTCCCGGCCCCTGTTCTGTCCCTTCCCCCCAGCAAGAGAACGCATATGCATCACCGCTTTCTCTCCAGCCCCCTCTGCAAGTGGGTTGCAGGTGCCCCATCACCATGGCAACGAAGCTGGGCCACTTCCTGTGGGCCTGGGCCTCAGCAGGAGCTGGGAAAGCAGATCACCCATGTCACGCACGTGCATGGTCCTGTGGCCATGCACGCCGTGTGTGGGTCTGGGCGTGTGTGTGCACGTGGGGGTGGCTTTGTGTGTGTATTGTTGCGTGGGAGTGGATTGTGGGTTTGTCTTCATGCCTGTGGGCCCGGGGAGTGTGTGCCTTTGTGAGCATGCAGCCATGGGCACAGGCACGCCTGTGTGTGTGCACATGGTCAGGGGCTGGCTTCAGGCGCAGGCCTATGGCTCCATGTGCACAGGGCTGGGGTCGTCTGGAGGAAGTCATGGGCTTTAGAGAGCCAGGTTCCAGTTCAGGTAGCTCGGGGCCTGACTTGCTGTGTGACCTGAAGCCCAGCTGCTTCCCCTCTCTGGGCCTCATTTTCCCGTCTTCACACAGGTTTTAGCCTCCGTCTGAGGACTGTCCAGAGGTCCGTGGCCTGCGGGGGCTGGGCTTCTAGCGAAGCGCCTGTACGCTGCCTCCCAAGAAGGGCTTTCTAGTCTGTGGCCACGAGAGCTTTTGCACCCACTGCCCCACCTCTGGGCTCAGCCTTGTTCCCTGAGGCCACTGTCTCTGGGCTCAGGTTAACAGAGGCTCCTAGCCAGGCCTGCTGGGTAGGAGGGAGCTGTTCCAGCCCAAAGCTTTTCCAGGGTCAAGGAAAGGGGGGAGGGGTCATTGTGGCTGCCCAGCTGAGGCCTAGCAGCCTTCAGGTCATGCCCAGCACATGGGCTCCTGCCTTGTCTGCCTCGGCCTCAGCCAGTCACTGCTCCTGCCTGAGCCCAGAGTGTGGGGCACAGAGAGGGCTCCCAAGGCGGACCCAGAGAGGGGGGCAGTTAATCGGGGTGCGCACAGCCACGTGGGGCCACGTCTATGCTCCCATCAAGCATTTTCTGAGCTCTTTTTAAAAAAATATATATTTTATTGATTTTTTTTTTACAGAGAGGAAGAGAGAGGGATAGAGAGTTAGAAACATCGATGAGAGAGAATCATCGACCAGCTGCCTCTTGCACACCCCCTACTGGGGATGTGCCCGCAACCAAGGTACATGCCCTTGACCGGAATCGAACCCGGGACCCTTCGGTCTGCAGGCTGACGCTCTATCCACTGAGCCAAACCGGTTTTGGCCTGAGCTCCTCTTATAGGTAGTTTTATTAAGTCTTCCCAGCGGCCCTGGGAGTAGCCCCATTGTGCGGAGGAGGAAACTGAGGCACGGAGAGGGCAAGCAGCAACTTGTTCAGGTCACACAGTCTGGATACTCACTCAAGCTTCAGAGGTCTTGCCAGGGTCAAGGGTGCCTGGCCGAGCTCTCCAGCCAGGCACTGCCTTGCTCACTTGGCCCTGTCTCCGTGGCTGCCCCGGAGCTGGGCTGAACAGGACCTGGCTCCGCCTGGGCCAGGGGCTGCCGGCTCGCATCCCTCTGCCCTCCCGTGTTGGACAGGCACAGAGCTGTGCTTAGTGCTGCGGCCGGGGGGGGGGGGGTGGCAGGCCTGGTGGTCACGCTCCTCTCTGGCCCTCCCCTGCAGGCGCCTACTGCCTCTCCGTGTCCGACTTCGACAACACCAAGGGCCTCAACGTGAAGCACTACAAGATCCGAAAGCTGGACAGCGGCGGCTTCTACATCACCTCGCGCACCCAGTTCAACAGCCTGCAGCAGCTCGTGGCCTATTACTCCAGTGAGTGCCGCCCCCAGCCCCAGCCCCAGCCCCAGCCCCAGCCCGGGGCGCAGGCCTCCGGGGGTGGACAGCTGGGCCAGCGGAGAGCCTGGCCGGGGCTAGGCCCTCTCAGGGCCTCAGCTGCAGAGCCTGAGGAGGGGGCTTTGGGGCCAATAACGGCTGGGGCTTTTGTTATGCTGAGGATATGTGGCTCCTGCCTTCCTCCCTGCTTTTTCCCCTGCCCCTTCTTCCTTCCCCTCCTTCTCCCTCCCCATCTTTTCCCTCTTCTTTCCTCCCTGTGCTCTCTTCCATATTTCCTCTCCTTCTCTCCCTCCACTACTCCCCCCTCCTTTTTCTCCTCCTCTCTGCAGCTGGCTGGTGAGGAGGGGGCTGCCTGGAGGAGCGAGCAGGGAAGGGAGGGGCCCAGGCAGTGTCCTTTGTCTCTGCAGCCGTAGCACCGGTCTGAACTGGTTGCTGGTAGAGGAGGAGGGGGCTGCCACATTGATTGCTGCTGGGAGTGGGGGCGCAGGGGGCGCAAGCTCGTGTGCTCACATGCACAGCCCCTGCGTTCACAGAGCGGCTGCTGTGTCTGGCTGGTGAGGTGCCCGGTGGACTGAAGCATGTGTGCTCCCTGTGGGGCCCTGTGGGAGTCTGTGTGCTGGGGGTGTGCACCGCTGGCCTCTGTGCAGGGGTGGCCTAGTCTGAGCGTGCCTGCTCCTTCCCGCCCCACACGTCCTCCTCCTCCTCCGTCAGCCCGCCTCCTGACTCCTCTAGGATCTGCCACTTCCATCAGTCCCTCAGCCACCCTACTCTTCCTTCTGAATCCTGTTCCCCCAGATCAAAACCCTCCGGGGTGCTCTTGCCATCTTAAGTAAAGGACCCCGGTGTGGCCTCTGAGGCCTTTAATAGTCTAAGCCCGGGCTGCCCTTCCTCCATCCACTTCCCCGCAGCCCAGCCCCCAGCCTCCTTTCCGCTCCTCTCCCCAGCAGCCGTCCCTCCCTAAGGGCCTTTACACAGGCGTGAGCACCGTGCCTTCTGCTTAGAGTGCTCCTTCCTGGTTAACCACTCACGCTCCTGTCCACTCAAGCCCAAGTACCACCTCCTCTGGGAAGTCTTCCCGGACTCTCTCCGCCCCACCTGCGGTGGCATGCACGTCACACACGTGGTCCTGGGCGTTGATTAAGGAAGCTGGGCTTCCCCTGGACTGTGAGCTCCCAGAGGCCAAGGTCCCACTGGACTTTTCTCCTCCAGTGAGTCCCTGGTATCCGCCTCGCTGGCCATGCCTTAAAGCGTGATGACTGCGTGGACGGATGACTCAGGGAGCAGGTGCCTGGGGCGGTGTGAGCTGTGTGGGGTGAGGGTGTGTACACACAGGTGTGGATGCTTGGCCTCACGGGCATCCTGCGTGTCCCCGGAGCCTGTGTGCACACAGCATGTCGGTCTGTGCACAGGGTGGGACGGGGAGGCCCCAGGGCGGACGCCGGGCCTGAACACCACTCCCCTGTCTCCATCTGCAGAACATGCCGACGGCCTGTGCCACCGGCTCACCACCGTGTGCCCCACGTCCAAGCCGCAGACGCAGGGCCTGGCCAAGGACGCCTGGGAGATCCCCCGGGAGTCTCTGCGGCTGGAGGTCAAGCTGGGCCAGGGCTGCTTTGGAGAGGTGTGGATGGGTGAGTGCTTGCCCCACCTCCAAGGAGAACACGGTCCCCTCGGGGGACCTGAGTGTCCCACCTGAAAACCAGGCCGACGTCCATCTGTCTGGCAGCTCAGGATCCTCTTATTCCCCTTCCCCTTACCTCCCAGAGTCTCGCTCGCCGCTGTTGAACTTGGGCCTTATTTTAATACGAGGCTCCCCCAGTGGTGGCTGGCACCAAGATGGGAAGTAGCCTCTTTATGCCTCTGAAGAGGGGCTGGGCATTGGGCCAGGTGGTTCGCTCTGAGCCTCAATCTTCCCAACTGTGAAACGGGGCTGCTGGGAGTAGGACCCACCGAGGGGCTGTGTGAGGGTGCGTCCACCGGTGAGCTCTCAGCCTTGGGAAGAGAAGCCTCGGCGCGCAGAGGGAGTCCGGGGAAGCACAGCCTGGCAGGTTCTGGGGCCTGTTAATCTCGGTCTCACCCTGAGAAACTGCAAAGCCGTCCTTGAAAACAAACACGCTGAGGCCCTGACAAAACTCAGCTGCCCTTCCACAGCCTGGTTTCTGCTGGCACAGCGGGATTGTGGAAGTTGGGGTGAGGTCGGCGTGACACAGTGGCCTGCCTTCAAGGTGTCCCTCTGAGCTACTGTCTTCACTTGGCATTCAGAGGAAGAGAGGATGGAGAGGAGCAGAGAGGGTTCCTGGGTGGGAGGCACTGCAGGCACTGCAGGCCTGGAGGCTGGAGAAGAGAGGTGCTGGCTCTGAGCTAGAGAGAGGGCAGAGGATAAGAAGCCGGCTCTGACGCACATATGCAAAACGAGGATGTGAGCACACGCTGGCTAAGTCCACGCATCTGCTGTTCCGGTGGCTGCAGGACTCCTACCTGGGCTGGTTGTGCATTAGTCAGTGGGGGAGGATCTTACTTCTTCCCGGTTGCTCCCAGCCCGGCCCCATTCATTTGCTGGCACCCGAGGCACCTTCTTTGTGCTGCTGAGAAGGAACAGGATCACCCAGGGAAGAGTAGTTGCGTTGGAACTGTGGTCTCCCATCTCAGGTGAATGTGCTGCTTTGGGGGAACATTCCTAATAACCATAGTCCTGACAACAGCTGCTATTCCTGGAGCAGGTACCAGAGACTCATTTCATCTCTGGAATAGTCCTGGGAGGAGCCCATTTTACAGGTGGGAGCGCTGAGGCTCAGAATGGCCATGGAGGCCAGAGCTGATCCTGGGTCCCTGTGGGCGGGAATGGGGGGCCTCCACTGAGGCAGCCTGCATCCCTCCCCACACAGGGACCTGGAACGGCACCACCAGGGTGGCCATCAAAACCCTGAAGCCAGGCACCATGTCTCCCGAGGCCTTCCTGCAGGAGGCCCAGGTCATGAAGAAACTGAGGCACGAGAAGCTGGTGCAACTGTACGCCGTGGTGTCCGAGGAGCCCATCTACATCGTCACGGAGTACATGAGCAAGGGTGAGGCTGGTGACTGGCACCGAGATGTGGGCAGCCCCCGGCGAGGTTATCTCTGAATCAGGGTGCTCACCAAACAGGTGGGGAGTGCTTTACTGCCCCCCCTCCCCATGGGAGTGTACCTCTTTAAAGGTGGGATGGACTAGAACACAACTTCTTCTTCTTCTTCTTTTTTTTTTTTTTTAAATATATTTTATTGATTTTGTACAGAGAGGAAGGGAGAGAGATAGAAAGCTAGAAACATCGCTGAGAGAGAGTCATCGATCAGCTGCCTCTTGCACACCCCCTACTGGGGATATGCCCGCAACCAAGGTACATGCCCTTGACTGGAATCGAACCTTCGGTCCCCAAGCAGAAGCTCTATCCATTGAGCCAAACCGGTCTTGGCTAGAACACAACTTCTCACGTTGATGCAAAGCTAAAACAAAGCGGGCCTTTCCCGTTTCATTTTGTTTTTAACGATCTCCCACAATGCATCTTGCCTACCTCAGTTGGCTGGTTTTCTAAAGCCGTTTGCCATTTTGGGGCAGAAAGAGATCTTCCCCAACCATCCTCCCTGAGCCACATTAAGTCCCTGGCTTCATCTTGACTGAATTTTAAAATTAATGAATTCTTTTAAAATTCTACTTTTTAGAGGCATAATTTATATATTCTAAAGCTTGCCCATTACATATTATAAAGTACATCCAGCTCAGTGAGTTCTAACAGACGGACACGCTCTGTATTCCTTACCACAATCTGGATAGAGAGGATCCGTGCCACTCCGGACAGTTCCCTTGCCCCCTCCCCAGCCCCAAAGCAACCACACGTCTTCCGTCATCCTGGGGTGGTTCCTTCTAGGATGTCTTTTGTGTAATCTTTTATACCCGAGGGTCTTCCTGGCGGTGCGTTATCCGTTTCTTGTTCCTTTTGTGCTGCTGAGTAGGGTTCCATCAGTGGGTGGGCCATCGTTTCCGTTCCCCTGGAGGTGGACATTGGGCTGTTTCTCCTCCTGTGTGCCCCTGGAGGACGGACGCTGAGTGAGGCTTTATTCAGAGACGGGTGTACGTAAAGCCTGCAGTGCTGGTTAGCGAGTGGCCAGCCCTTCCCGTTGGGGCAGGACCTGGAGTCCCAGCTTCCCGGCTCAGGGAGGGCGGGGCCGGGGCCAGTGCTGCCTTCTCTCTGCCCAGGGAGTTTGCTGGACTTTCTCAAGGGGGAGACGGGCAAGTACCTGCGGCTGCCGCAGCTGGTGGACATGGCTGCTCAGGTGAGTCGCCCCTCTCGCACCCGTGGCTTTGTGCTCCGCCCGCTCTGGCCTCCTGGGTGCTGCCTCCGGGAGGCTTGCTTTGGCTGCCTTCACATGCGCTGATCCCGCCCGTGTGTTGCTGGGGGCGCCTTCCGCGCTGCCGGCGGTGGCTCTGGCAGAGGAAAGAGCCCCCGCCCCTGACTTGCTGTGGGTCTTCAGGCCTCAGTTTCCTTCTCTGTGAAGGTGATTTGCCCACTGAACGAACATGTATTCACCAACAGTCAGAGTTTGCTCCACAACTATTTTTTCACTTAATCCTTGTCCCAACCAGGGGAGGCAGGGATGGCTCTGACTCCATTTGATGGGAAAGGAAACTGAGGCTCAGAAAGCGGATTTGGGACTGCAGGCGGGACCTGACACTCCTGTGTCTCTGGGGCCTCTTTTATGGTCGCCCGCTTTCCTGGGTGCCTCTCTCTTGTGCCCTTTGCCCTTTGTCCTTTGTCCCGAGTTCCCTCCTTCTGCCGAGCGCTGGTCCTGCTTTTTGTGCAGCAGCATTTATGGTAACCTGCGTCACTTGAAGGTCGGGAGGGAGGGTGTTTGGCTGGCTCTCTGCCCTCGGGATGACCCCAGCCCTGGGCACATGCCTGTGACCCGGAAGGGCTTGGGGTGGCCCCTGAGCCGGGCTCCCGGGTTTTGCCCGCAGATCGCCTCGGGCATGGCGTATGTGGAGCGGATGAACTATGTCCACCGGGACCTCCGTGCCGCCAACATCCTGGTTGGAGAGAACCTCGTGTGCAAAGTGGCTGACTTCGGCCTGGCCCGGCTCATCGAGGACAACGAGTACACAGCCCGGCAAGGTGGGCGGGGCCTGGGCGGGCACCAGGGGCCTTGGGAAGCCCGGTCCCTTCTCTGAGCCTCAGTGTCCTCGTCTGCCATGCGGGGGTGGGAACGGTGCCCCTATGACCTTCTGCTCCTGCAGGTGCCAAGTTCCCCATTAAGTGGACAGCTCCGGAAGCTGCCCTCTACGGCCGGTTCACCATCAAGTCCGACGTCTGGTCCTTTGGGATCCTGCTGACGGAGCTCACCACCAAGGGCCGGGTACCCTACCCTGGTGAGAGGGCTCCCACAGCCCGTCTGCAGCCCCTGAACCCCTCTGCCCCGGTGACCTTGGACAAGCCAGGCCCCCTCCCAGGCCTCAGTTTCCCTATCTGTATAAGCAGGAAGCTGAGCATCGGATCTTAGGCTCTCTCTCGGGTCAGGGCTTCCAGCCTTGGGGAGGGGCTTTCACTTACACCCACCCCGTTATCCCCATCAGCTTCCCCCCACCCCCCCCTCCTCCCCAGAGCCAGCCTCCCCACTCCTCCCTCCGCCCACAGGGATGGTGAACCGGGAGGTGCTGGACCAGGTGGAGCGAGGCTACCGGATGCCCTGCCCACCCGAGTGCCCCGAGTCCCTGCACGACCTCATGTGCCAGTGCTGGCGGAAGGAGCCCGAGGAGCGGCCCACGTTCGAGTACCTGCAGGCCTTCCTGGAGGACTATTTCACGTCCACTGAGCCCCAGTACCAGCCTGGAGAGAACCTATAGGGGGCCGGCTGCCGGGCCAGACTGGCTGCTCGGCTGGGCCGGGCCGGGCGGCCCCCGGTGTGGGGTCCTGCCTCGCTCTTCCCGCCCGCGGTGGCTGCGCTGCGGGGCTGAGGGGTCAGTGACGAGGCCTCTCCCTCTGTTGTGGATGGGAGGGCTCGGGGCCCGGAGCAGCCCCGAGGCGGGGCGCAAAGCTGGCACAGCCTTTGTGTCCTGGCTCCTGCTCCCGCCTCGCACCTCCTCCTGGTGCGCCTCCCGGAGCTCCGTGAGGTGCGGCCGGAGGGCCTGGGGAAAAGGGCTGGAGCCGAGGGCTCGCTTTCCCAGCCTCAGCCTCCTCTCCACACGGGCTCCTCCCCTCTCCCGCGCCGTCCAGGGCTGTCTCCAGAGCTGGCCAAAGAGCCTTTCCAAAGAACAGCGATCGGCCCCTGGCCGTCAGCCTGCCTGGTACCCTGCCCCTTGCCGTCCGTTTCTGAAGCACCTGCCTGTGGGGGCCGCTGGGTCCAGACCCTCCGCCATGGCTCCCGGCAGGGCCGCCTGGAGCCCAGACTGACTTGATCATGGTGGGCGGGGTGGGCTCCCCTCCAGACCTCGCCCTTCTTAGACCCGAGGGTCCCTTAGAGGGCGTCAGTTCCTTGTCCCTCATTACCCACGGGGCAGCAGTCCAGAGAGAGGCTGTGACTTAGCCACGTCCTCGGAGCAGTTCAGAGTTGAGGTGGGATGAACCCGGTGCTCCCTCCGTCTTCCTCAGGAACCAACAAGATTGTCCTCAGCGGCATCCTGGACAGACTGGTAGCCCCAGGGACAAGGGGCCTGAGGGTGGGCTAGAATAGCAGAGAGTTCCGTTGCCATGTCCCGCTCAGCGGGGCTGTGGTGGGGGAGAGAGTGGAGGAGGTAGGTGTGGGGCCGAGCTGGGAATGGGGGGTGAAGGTGCAGGCGTAGGGAGGCAGACTTCCATCTGAACGTGGGTGGGTTTTGACCTTCAGGCTTAGCCAGCCACGGAAGGGAGGGAGCTCCCAGGCTCTGGGGGGGCAATCAAGCAGACATGGACGATCCAGGTGGTTGGGAAACTTGCCCTGGCCTTAGGAGGGAGCCGCAGGTTGTCTGCCCAGTTTGCCCTGTGCCATTTCCAAGCCTGGCCTCTGCTCTCCTCCCCAAGTTGGCGCCCTAAACTCGTGAGGAGGGAAAGGATTGCCCAGGAGGGGGTGCGGGAAGAGGTGGGGAGGGCTCCACTGTCACGTATCCCTGGGAGGACCTGGGAGGACCTGATGTCTGTGGGCTGCAGCCTCTGCTTCCTTATGAGGCCACGGCCTGTGCGGCTCCTCCTGCCTGTACAGACCCTGTGACCTGGCGTCACACAGTGAGCGCAGTCCGGGCATCCGGGGGCCGTTTTGGCCCTCGCCCCGTTGTTCAGTCTTAGGGTTTGTGGTGGCTTCTCCAAAAAGGGGAGCTGACAGTTTGTGGGCATCTTGGTAAGGGCCTCTGTGTGTGTGTGTGTGTGTGTGTGTGCACGTGTACGTGTGCATTCCTCCATGTGTGTCCATATTTAACATGTAAAAATGCCCCTTACTCTGTCGCCCAGACACATTGTACATTTCACCCCCACCGCCCCTTTTCCCCCCCTCCCCCCGCCTCATAGCAATAACATTCCTGCTGCCAGGGCTTCTTGAGCCAGCCAGGCCCTGCCAGCGGGGAAGGAGGCCAAGAGGTGCCTGCCTATGAAATTTCAACTTTTCCTCTCGTACATGTCTATCACCCTCGACTTCCCCTGTCTGTCCCAGTACACGAGCGTGCTCTCACGTCCCCTTCCAACTGCCCAAGGCCCTTTGTGTAAGGTGTCCTGATACTGTCCTTTTTTAAAGACAAACCAACAGTGTTTTGTAGATTTCAGATGACTATGCAGAGGCCTAGGGGACCTCCGGTTCTGGGCAGGGCCTGGGGGTCCCACATTCCATGGCCCAGGTGTCGGGGAGGGGCGGTGGGGGAATCCAGAATTGGTTGTAAATACTTTGTATATTGTCTGATTAAACACAAACAGACCTCAGAGTTCAGCCGGTGGTTTATTGAGCCTCTGCTGTGTGCCGGAGGGTGATGATGGGGTGGGAGGTGAGGCCGGCCTGCCGCCAGAGGGGCCTGGGTGTGTGCACGGTCAGATGGGAGTCCACCGTTACCATGGCACATGACCATGAATGCACACCGGGACCCGCATTTGGGGCGTGAGCAGAGGCCTGGCTTGTGTCTGAGATGCTCAGATGAACCCCAAGATGCCCACAGTGTCCGCAGGTCAGAACTCCGAGGCCCGGGCGGCTGGGGCTGTCAGGCCTGTGTGGAGCTGTGGACGTGCTTGTGGGGAGGTGTTTGTTTTTGTTTTTTTAAAAAATATATTTTATACATTTTTTACAAAGAGGGAGAGAGGGATAGAGAGTTAGAAACATCGATCAGCTGCCTCCTGCACACCCCCCACTGGGGATGTGCCTGCAACCAAGGTACATGCCCTTGACTGGAATCGAACCCGGGACCCTTCAGTCCAAAGACCGACGCTCTATCCACTGAACTAAACTGGTTTCAGCATGTAAGGGTGTTTTTTTAATTTGCTTTTCCGGGAGCCTGAGCTGGGTGGGAGGCGGGGCTGCATCGAAGTCCTGGGCACTTGAGGAAAATTCCAGACTCTTCCTCTCCTCCTTCTCTCCCGTCACCAACGGACCCAACCCGGGAAGTTCATTTGCAACCGTGTGTACGAAGAAGTGGATTTTACATCAGGTCACACGCACATCCACGGGTCACCTCTGGTGGTAATAACACTTCCGTCAAATGGGGGTGTTACTTTGTTCAGTGTCATTTTCACAAGCTGGAGAGACCTCGGGGTGTGCTCGTGAGAGCATGAATAGGAACCCCGAGGAGCGTGGCTGTTTGTGGCCCGGGTCTTCGGATTGTTCCTGGGGTGTGTGTGCCCTAAGATGTGTATGCCTTTGTGTTCATGGGTGTGTGAGTTGGGGGGGGTGACTGTTTGCCCATGGCTCTGTGTCTCTATACACACACACACACACACACACACACAAACACACACCTCTCCAGTGTGGGCTGTTCTCCCCGGGCCCGTGCTGGGACAGGGAGGGGGTCCGTGCTTCCATCGGTCCCTCAGCTCTTCAGACTTGTTGAAACACTCATTGTGGAGCAGCTGCTCCTGCCTGGCCATGTGCATGTGCGTGGGCCTCCATGTGTGTGCGTGCCTCTGTGTGTGCGTGTGCATGTGCATGAGTGTGCGTGGGCCTCTGTGTGTGTGTGTTCCCCCACCCTTAGGCCTCCATCTTGATTATTCCAAATGTGCCTGCCCGTCTTTCTGTCCCCCTCTGGGCCTCTCCCTTCCTCCCTCTGCCTCCTCCCCTTTTACCCTCTGCTTTTTCATCTGCGTTCATCCTGGGTGCTCTCACTCAGTGTGGAAGCATGCATCCACTCACTGGTCCATTTCTTTCTTTAACGGGTTCCCGTGGTGTACCCACTTTATGCCTGACCCTGGCTGGGGGCCCAGGGGCGCAGGAAGTTGGCTGGGAGCAGCCCTGGACACACACTCACTGTCTAGAATAGGGGTGTCGAACTCAATCAGAGAAGGGGCCAAAATCTAAAATCCAGCCTAAATCGCGGGCCGAATGGTTTGCTGAACAGTCATAAACTGTCATTGTGATGGAAACACAGCAGAGTGCAGTGATGACAGCGCGGTGCGGGCCACATTGCAAGGCCTGGCGGGACGGATTTGGCCCGCGGGCCTTGTGTTTGACACATGTGCTCTAGAAGGACAGATGAGAGAACAGGTGCAGGAAGACCTCAGTCCGAGGAGCGCAGAGAGCTTGAGGGCTCCCCTAATGAGGAGCCGAGGGGGAGCTGAGAGTGAGTAACAGGAGAAGAAGGGGGGGAGTGGGTGCCCCAGGTGGCAGGACAGCTGGGCAAGGCCAGGAGGTGGGAGCGGGGCAGAGCTAGGGTGGGACTGCCACTGAGTCTTGATCCTCTCTTGCTCTGCCTCCTGCTTCTCCCCTTTTCTGGGGGTTTGTGATTGTGCATGTGAAGGACCAGCGAGAGGGAGACAGACAGACACCAGAAGAGGGCGGGAGAGGCACAGGGAAGTCTGCTGCTTTTCCTGTTCATCTCCCCTCGCTCCCCTTCTCTCTGCGCTGACCTAAATCTCCTTTCTCCGGACTTGCTGCATTTGTTCTTGTGTGTGTGTGTGTGCGCGCTACATGTATGGTGTGGCATGTGTGCGGTGTGTATGTAGTATAATACGTGTGTTGTGGGTGATAGGTGGCGTATGTGTGTTGTGTGTGGCATGGTGGGGCACATGTGTGTTGGTATGTGTGTTGTGTGTGGTGGTGTGCATGCAGAATGTGCGTGTGGTCTGTGTGTGGTGGTTGGTGGCATGTGGTCCCTTGCTGACTCCCGCACTGTTGCCTGAATCCAGCAGGGGCTGTGCTGAGGTCCCCCCCCCCCCACACACACACACACATGCATCTTCCTTTCAGGTGCTTGTTCCGTCTGAAAACGCCCAGCGTCCGGGCCTCGGCTGCGGCCAAGGTGGGGCGGGTGCGTCTGCTGCCTCTTCCTGCCTCATCGGCCTCTCTCCGCTCCTCGTTCTTCCTGCTTCATCGGCCTCTCTCCGCTCCTCGTTCTTCCTGCTTCATCGGCCTCTCTCTGCTCCTCGTTCTGAACCGTCTCTCAGGGCCACTCTTGTTTACTTACTTATTTTTATTCTTAAAAAATATTTTTAATGCTTTTATTGATTTCAGAGGGGAAGGGAGAGAGAGAGAGAGAAACATCTGTAATGAGAGGGAATCATTGACCAGCTGCCTCCTGCACACCCCACACTGGGGATCGAGCCCACAACCCGGGCATGTGCCCTAGACCAGAATCAAAACCAGGACCTTTCCGTCCGCAGGCCGATGTTCTTTCCACTGAGCCACACTTGCTGGGGCAGGGACACTCTTGTTTAGTGCCTCTTGCATTTGCATCTGTCTGTCACCTCTCTATCACACTGCCCCCCCTTCCTTTTCTCTCTTTGTTCTGATTTTCTTTGTCTCTGTTTCTGTCTTTCTCTTTTTGTTTTGTTCTTTCTTTGTTTCTTGCTGTCTCTGCCTCTCAGTTTTAGCTTAATGCTACTTGGCGTTAGCTTGTCCTTTTCTATCAATAGGTGACCGCACAGTCACACATGTGTTTGTGTGTATGTGTGTCTGTCTGCCCCGCACTGTACGGGGCCTGTCAGGCGTGTGCGTGTGTCTGTGCGGCTGAGCCGGCGTCCGGCCCCCGAGCCCAGCCTCCCGCCTCGGCGGGCTGTGTGGATCTCGGTAGCAGGCAGCTGTTGCCCGGCTCCGCGCTGGGGTCATTGCCACGGGCTGAGGTTTTGTTTCCCTTCACTCCCTCCGGTGTTCCTGGAACAGTCATCCGAGAAGCAGCTGCTCCTGCTGGCCTTGGCGTGCGTGCGTGCGTGCATGTGTGTGTGTGTGTGTGAGAGAGAGAGACACACACACACACACTCACAGGGACAGAGCAGCCTCCTGTCCAGCCCCCTTCTCTGTGGGGTTCGAGGCTTTTGTATTCACTCCGAGTCACTTGCATTTGTCCCTCCTGGGCCTCTCCTGCGTGCCGGCTGTGAGTGTGTGTGTGACTCGGCTCCGTCCTGCCTGTTGCTGCCCCGTCTCTAAGGCCATTCTGAAAGCTGCCCTGGCTCTGCGGGGCGTTCGCAGGGAGGGGGTGTGAACCCGTGTGTGGCAGCTGTCAGCGTGTCGGCTCTGCCACTTCACTAACCCGCTGCGCCCACCCTGGGGGAAGTTTCCTCTTGGTCAGCAGACACTGCACACTGTGTGTGTGTGTGTGTGTGTGTGTGTGTGTGTGTGTGGTGTGTGAGTCTGCATGTGTGTGTGAGAGAGAGACAAAACTCTCAGCTCCCTGCTCACCTCTTCTCTACAGCTCCATCTTGTTTTTTCCAGACACGCTGGTGTCTGTCTCTCTCCCCTCTCCCCCCAATCTCTCCCTTTCTCCTTCCCCATCCATCTCTGAGGCTCTGTCCAGTGTTGCTTTCACTCTGAGGATGAGCACATGCTATCTGACCATGCATCTATCCATCTACGCATCCATCTGTTTGTCTGAGTTATTTCCAGACCCTTTCCTAACTCCTGCTTTGTCCTCCCTGTGCTGCTGGCCATCTCAGCATTCACACTGGCAGCTCTCTCTCCTGGCCTCCCTCCCTCACCCTCTGTGTGAGCTCCAGACCCGAGCATGCAGCTGCTCCTGGGCCCTCACCAACCCCAGCCCTGCACCCCCTCGGCCGCCCAGACTCAGCCCTGTCTCTGCCCCTTCTCCCCCGCTGTGCCTGCTTCACCCCCCAACAGGACACCTGCCGGGAGCCCCAGCAGCCAGACCTCCGGATGGAGCAAGTTTCCTTCCTGCCTGTGGACCCCCCTCCGAATTCAGGTCTCTCCCGCCCCCCTTCTCTCTGTTTGCCCACGTGAGGGTCTAGGCGTTAGTCTTCCTCTCTTGGGTCAAATTACCTTTTTATTTTCTTTTTTGGCATTTTGTCAGGGTGTGTTCACACTCGGGCATCGTGTGTGTGTGTGTGTGTGTGTGTGTGTGTGTGTGTGTCTTCCTTTCTCCCTGTCTGACGCATACATCTTTCCTTCCCTCCCTTATCCTCTTTCTCTCATTAAAAAACACTCCAAACTGAGGTATGCCTGGCTCAGTGGATGTGTTGACCTATGAACCAGGAGGTCACAGTTCAATTCCTCGTCAGGGCACATGCCCGGGTTGGGGGCTCAATTCCCAGTGTGGGGTGTGCAGAAGGCAGCCGATCTCTCTCTCCCTCTCCCTTCCTCTCTGAAATCAATAATAAAAAATATATTTAAAAAATTAAAAAGTTGTGGCATCACTTACATAATCACAGAATGTGCAGCTCTACACCTCCCCAAGCAAGGACCAGCTCACCGAGCCGCCCCAGCCTCCTCCCCCCTCATGACCACCCCCCGCCAAGGGAACCACTGGTCCCACTCAATCACTGCTTCCTTCAT